AACAGGCAAAAGTAGAAAGCTCTCAGGACAATTGTTTTTAACCTTTGACTATGAGGGTTTGTGTATATGTTGATACATCTTTGACCAATGCAAGGATGTAAGTTTTAGTCAATTTGATTGACAGCTTGTCAATTACCGGCCTTGAATATGGGACCACCTTTTTAACCATTCAAATACTTGCTGATTTTGAGATCAAATATCTCTCCTTGCCAGAAAGCTATGACAATAATTTTGCCAATCCCTATTTACCAACCCTTTGGTCTATAATAAACATAAAAAACATTTCTGGGCTCTGCCTTTTTTGGGTGTCAGATGCCACTTGAAAACTGCCCCTAAATCAAGCTTATTTCCACTTCACCTGTTAAATAATTCAGCAATTAACGGCCGCTGAAGTGACTAAACCGACACTTTCCAGCCCGTTATACAAGAATAATGATTGAGGAGTTTAATGCATGCTTAAAACGCTCGAGATTTTGCAAGAAAATCAAAGATTTCACACTGATTAGTGATGTATGTCACCAAAATATCGAAAGCAAAATCGTAATGTTTGTTACCTCGTTTTGATTTTGTCGCAAAAACAGGTATTCTTCTTCATAGAAGTTCAACTATACATCAGTCCTTCATTCAACAAGTGTTATGTGACAAGACCAAGCTGTTTTTAATTTCCTGGGGAGATTTCAAGGCCACATGGTTCGCGGTTGTTGACAAGCTTTGAATCACGCCAGTATAGCGCCAGTCACAAAACATCGTCAACTCGCACATCTAAAAACAACATTCAATGATGAGAAATTCTTCCTTACAGCGATAAAGAAATTACGCCTAAAACGTTCGTTAAGTTGAGGCTACAACCTCAGAAAAAGAATAGTGTTAGTTTTACTTACCGCCGTCAATCTACGCAGAATTATTGTGTGCTGCGTGACCAGACAACATTTCTTTACAATCCACTTCTTTGCCTCCCAAAGGCTTTCAGAAGGTCCTTCTTGTTTCTATAACTATATTCATCTGCTCCTATCTTCATTTGTTTTTACGTCACCCTCGATCAAGCTTATTTACGACCAAGTATTACGTGACAAAAAGAAAGAGCCTGCAATGTTTTGATCAGCGAATTTCCCGTGCCTTCCCCGGCAATTTACATATATTCTAAATAATTTTCGGCTGTCTAAACTGGAAGAGAGAAGGAATAAAAATAAACCTAAAAGAAATAGCTGCGTTGACCAGAAATCTGCTGAAATCAAGTAAGCACCCTTCTCTGTTGGAAAGCTACCCTTCCTGCACGCTTATTCGACTTAATAAGAACTCGGGAATTCAACCAATAGGAGTCAGAGAGGTTTTGAGACGAATAATTGGCAAGACCATATCCACCTTCTTAAAGGAGGAGATCAAGCTGGCAGCCCGTCCCCTACAGGTTTGTGATGGCCACAGTGCGGGTGCCGAGGCCGCCGTATATATACACGCCATGGCCCAGATTGTTGATGATGATGGTACAGACAGAATCCTGTTGGTTGACTGCAACATCCAAATTACTTCCCCTGAAATGTCCGTATCATCAACACGTACAGAAGTCCCTCGAGATTGTTCACCTGTGGAGGGGAAGAGATCTTATCCCAGGAAGGGACAACACAGGGTGACCCTCCAGCGCTAGGTGGTATGGGATCAACACATCCATCTTGATTCAGAGTCTAAGAGCGCGTATACTTGAGGTTAATAAGCAAGTATGGCTGGCTGATGACTCGGCGGGAGGCGGCCCAACTGAACTGTTATACAACTGGTACAAGCTTTCTTGTCAAGAAGGAAAGAAATGTGGCTACCTAGTCAATGGCTCCAAAAGATAGCTGATAGTAAAGCCCGGGTAGTAAAGACACAAGATCTAGCAGATGAGGCCGAATTGGTGTTTGGAGAGGAGGTCAGAATAACAACAGAAGGTCAACGACACCTAGGAGCAGTCATTGGATCCCAGGAGTACAAAGACCAATAATGTATTGGAAAAGTTCAGGGATGGAGGGAAAGCATTGAGTTGCTGGCTGAGATCGTAAAGGGTCAACCCCATGCCGCCAACGTAAAGGACTACAAATCGAAATTTGCACATTTTATGCATAAAATTGACTCATTTGAAGACTACGTGGAACCAACTGATGACGCGATCAACGGTATTTTCCTTCCAGTCCATTTTGGTCAGACGGAACCGCTCCCTGATGAGTTGCAAGAACTATTAACAAGGGGGTCTAGGTATACCAGATCTGAAACCTGAAGCCTCACAGCAATACCTTGCTTCAAAGTTAATAACAGCAGCGTGTAGCAGCTAGACGTTCTAAGGTCAACACTGCAGGCCAGAGACAAGGGTGCAAGCGCGTGGCTCAACTTCGTTGCCCTTGAAGAGCAGGACCTGTGGTGTAAGAAGAAGGGATTTGTTTCACAAAGCCATGATGGCATCCAGAAACTTCTCACATCTCTTCTCAGCAAAGTCTGCAAGGATGTCGAGGTAGAGCCCCACCTACCGATGGACAATGACGTATTCAACCTAAGCTCCGCCGTCACAAGTCCTGAGGCTAGACTGGACATAATCGCACGAAGTCTCTGGTCACGAGGAGAAACGTAATTCTTCAATGTATGTGATGCATCTGAACTCAACGTGTAACCAGAACAAATCGATCTTCGTGGAGCAAAGAGAAGAAAAGGAAGTACCAACAAAGAGT